TGAAGGTCATTCATTTGAACAAACTTGGTAGCCCTTCACCCAAGCATGCTACTGGCCAAATATCATCTCCTTGGGCAGTTTGGTTATCAAGAAGAAGATGTTTAAAGTTTTTAACATATTTGACCCCTGTGACCTTGAAAATGGGTGAAGGTCATTAATTTTAACAAACTTTGTAGCCCTTCATCCCAGTTTGCTTCTGGCCAAATATCGACACCCTAGGCCTTTCAGTTATTAAGAAGAAGTAGTTTAAAGTAAAATATTGACACCGGACGACGGACGGACGGACGGACGGACGACGGACGCCGCGCCACGGCATAAGCTCACTTGGCACTTCGTGCCAGGTGAGCTAAAAATGACGCTGGAAAAACAGACGCAGCACTGTGGCACAAGCCATAGTATAAGCCCTACAGGCATGCTGAGCTAAACACTCACCGACATCTTCTTGAAATCTGGTAGTGCATAGCATAGACAGACTGTCCTTTCTGCCAGTCTCCATGGATCACTCCACAGCAGAAGCAGCAGACCTTGTCCTCGTTCCCTGTATAGTAAAAACCATATTTGGCCAGGACAGTGGGCGAAATGGGGCAGCTCATGGGAAAAGACCAGAAAGACTTAAACCTAGCCCATTCAAACTTCATACTTTCTGTGACAGTTCCAGTGATGATCTGTTCAAATACACTGATCTGCTCATTGAAAGTACTTGGTGGGTTTTCCATGTCATGGAGTCTTCTTGCAGTAGCCCCAATTAATTCATTGCTGTTTTCTTGCTCATGATCTGTTCCACTCGTTCCATTTACTGCAGCAGCTGAATGACTGTTTGGATGGTTGAAAGGAAGCATAAATACATTTAACTCGGATCTCACATCTGGCATAATGTGAAGGTATTTGAATCTCCCTTTGTCATGCTTAATGGTCTTCCAGTCAGAGCTTTGTTGAAAAGTAAACTTCTCCAAACTGTTCATCCTCTTGACAAGTCTTCTAGATGTTTTCAATTTGGAATGATGCAGTAGACTCCTTGATAAGAAAGGCTTTACTGTGTGTCTGATGCAGTGATACCGTTGATTATCTTTTTTTCTTATTGCCAGCTTTCTTTTCCTGTGAACTGATGACACCTGGTCTGACACAGTGTGTCTTGTATGTGGCTGGTACATGCTAAGATTTCCTGAACTTATTGCTGGATGTTGCTGATGTATGTTGTTATTTCCTGTGTGTTTTGTAAGATTTGACTGGTTCACAAAAGGCTTTGTGTTTACCACTGGTGTAACTGATCGCCAGGATTGAAGGGGCTCCACAACATCAGATGAATTCAAACCACCTTGGTTCCCGTCATTCTTCAGTTGACTTTTATTATTTTCCTTCTGTTTGGTGTCTGTGTTCCATTTCTTTGGTTTGTTGTTTTTACCTTCTGATTCTTTGTCTGTGTGATGCTGAAACATGGCAGAGACTTTCTTGCAGCTTTCTTCATCCAGTTTTCCCATCTGCTTTAAATCCGACCAACAAGAAACCAAACCATAAATGAAGAATGCCCATATCAAATTGGGAGAGACAGACGATAGTTCTTGTGGATGCCATTTTTCAGGTTTGGCATACAAAGGTGTTGACTTTTTTGGCTCTTCTACTGATAAACAATGGCCAACAGTTGAAGAATATTCACACCTGCTACAAATACAACTGGAACTTGTTGCAGAAAACAAGTGTGGTGACACGTGTGATTGATTTGTAACATTCTTAAAATTGGATTCAGATTTTTCTTTCTGAAACACAAATTCATCAAAGCTTACTGTGTTCAAAATGGGTGTTGTAAAATGAGGGTACTGTCCTGTCTCAGTCTTCATAGTATGGCACTCCAACTTATCATCTAAGTCATCAATGTCCATGATTTCTGACGGGTCTAGTGATCCCACAGGGTCATCCGAGTCAAGTTTGATTGATCCCTTCCTCTGGTCAGAACTCACTCCCAGGCTGTTAGACTCTCTGAAAGAAGGGAAAGGTACTGTGTGGGAAAGCTTCATCAAAACAGGTCGCTTTGTGTCATAATCAATGGTTTCATCTTTGTAATGGCTTTTCTTGGATGATTTCAACTCCTGACTTTCTACTCCTGCCTTAGTAACTGCAGTATAATCCATAGCATCTTCTGTACATTGAATGGCATTTGAACTTTTTAAGGCCTCAGCTTTTGGCAGAGCAGATAGAATGGTTGCAGACTGCTTACAAGAGGTAACTTTCTTTACAATGGTTTTCTGGCAATCATCATCTTCAATATCATTCATCTCAGAACCAAGTCCATCTGCCTCCACAGTTTTGGAAACCCCTTCATACTGCCTACTCCAATCATCTAGTAGTGAAGAAAAATTCATGTCTGCAAGGTAGACATCTGCAGAGAAATGGACGTCTCTGAAGCTGTCATCCTCGTCTGTAAAACACTGACTGTCTCCATATGAGTTTGTCATAACATCTTTATTTTCTACAGGTACAACAATTGTGTGATCCTGTGTAACCATGTTATCTATTTCCACAGGTAAGGAACTTCTTCTGTCATATTGTTCTATCTCATCTGGATCAGCAGTGTCCTCAGAACCAGCATTCTTAGGAAGCCTCTTTATTTCCTGTTTTGATTTTCTTCCTCTCAGATATGTCATCAATTTCTTTTGTGGACTTGATTTTTTGGTTTTAGGTTTGTGCTGATCCTTTTTCTTCAATTTCTTTCTTTTTGTACTCGCAAAAAGAGGACTTCTCTTTTGATTACGATTGTAGCTACTCACAACATTTAAATCACCAACGGATGATTCTACTTGCACTGTGCACACCTCTTCTTCTTGTATCCATGACAGTGTCTCATTAACATCAACCATCTCCTGTAAAATATACTCGATAATGAGAATGACACGCCACACAACTAGAGTACAGCAAATCTTTAAGATATTTTAATCTTTTTACTTTCTGTATCAATATAACTAGACATATATATAAGTCAAACTGAAATTAATGTATGCATCCCTGTCTTCATTTAAACTAATACATTTTTAAAATATTTTTTCAATTATATACATATATCTAAATGAATTAATTAAAGCAATGTTTGGAAAATTGGAAACATCTATTTGTACTTATAACCCTATTTAAGTTAATGCTGAACTATCACCATAAAATAGAACAAGAGGGCCTGTAGTGCACACCTGGAGTAAAGTAAGCACAGGAAAATAGTCTCTGACCATCCATTTATAAATATTGAGTCCCCTTTGACCAAGGGTGATCCACACAAAATATGGATAATATCTTTCCAATCATAGTGAAGGAGAAGAATTTTTAACATTTATAACTATGTTCCCCCTATTGGATCCAACCCCTCTGCCCAATAGGTGCCGTATAAACTGTTTATAACAAAATTGAGCCCCCCTTTGCCCAAGGATGCTCTGGACCAAATCTGGTTAAATCTCTTTATTTGGTACTGAAGGAGAGGGATTTTTGAAGATTTTACTCAAGTTCTCCTATTGGGCCCCATCCCTTTTACCCTTGGGGGGCCAAACTCTCTGTTTATATAAAATTGAGTCCCATTGGCCCAAAGATACTCTACACTATTCTTTTTTAAAAATCACTCCAATCAAACAGAAGAAGAAATTTTTAGATTTATCTTAATTTCTCCTATTGGACTAGCTCTGCTGAAAGCGGCCACAACCTCTGTTACTGTGTATACAAAACTGAGTCCATTTTGCTCAAGGGTGATTCACACACAAAATTTAGTTTAAATCCCTCCAATCATACTAACAGTCAGTAACGGAGAGGGATTTTAAACATTTATTACTATGTTAAATCCCTCAAATCAAACTAAAGACTAATGTCTGCTTAGGGATCCCTGTACCATTGCCAAAATCTGTTACTAAGTACTAGAAACTGTTTTCTCCAGCAAAACTATAGCTTTGATAAATAATTTCTATAAAGAAAACCATACATTGTGGGACTTTTGTGAGAAATAATAAAGATGAAATAAACAAAATATAATCAACAACAATACTAGTGTTCTGTGTGAAAAAGTCAGCATGGCTTAAGGATCCCTTGTCCCAGCCAGAGCAAAACACTAAAGATTTCCACTGTCGTTTTTCAGTGTTAGAGTCACCTGCCCCTGATTACCATTTCGACAATGTTGTTATCTTTCCTTGAATAGATTTCGTTTGAATAACATTTCGACTACAGAGTTGTGTCCCTTGCGTTGAAAATCTCCAATTGCGAAAGCGGGGGCAAAAAAAGCTGTCGTAACGATGTAAACAACGTCGTGGCAGTGATGGCCGACATGCAAGCTCGACGTAAAATTGTCCGTATTACATGTAAACTAAACGCATTAACAGACAATAATTACAACAACGATGTCCAATATCAACTGCTAGACCACGACTATGCGACAAAACAAAGTGACACTCGTCCACACATTGAAGAGACGCTGGCTACTGAGGCCCCTACTAAGCTTACTGGCAATTTTACTGATGAGCTGACACCGACGTCCGATGAGGATCCCTCCAGTACTAGTGATCACGAATACGTCAATAACTTTTTAACCTGGTCGCAGGGTAGACGAGTGGTTGAACTTGCGATGTTATCTGAATACCTGGACCAGAAAGGTTGTAAGGAATGCGGTACTAGGCTACGGTTGTGCAATACCCAACAGGAAAGACATTTTGGCCTGGGAAGTATTTTATACATCACAATAGTCAGGAATATATTCTATATTTGTTATAACATGTATATACCCAATAGGCCTATATTTCAAGTTCATTTTTTACAACAATGTTATTTTTACAATGTGATATTTTTATACCACAATATTGTATGTTGTTATTTGTACATAATGTAAAAGTTTATTATTGTTGTATAGTGTGATATTCGTTAAAACACAATATATGTTTTATCTGTATATAATGACAAAGTTTATTATTGCTATATAGTGTGATATTTTTTATATCACAATATGGTATGTTGTTATCTGTACATAATGTGAAAGTTTATAATTGTTTTGTTCAGAATGTAAAAGTTTATTATTGTTGTATATAGTGTTATTTTTTTATATCACAACATGGTATGCTATTTGCCTATTATGTAGAAACTTATTATTGCTGTGTAAAGTATATGAAACTTTGTTATTGTTGTTCATTGTGACATTTTTGCTATGACACAGTATACGTAAAGTACTTCATTGTTTGTTATAATGTTATTCATACACAATGCGCAATTTTGTTTTATATTGGTTATAACATTTGAAGAAATTTTAAAGGTTGGTAATGCGGCTAATGCCTATTCGTATATAAAAAGTGCTATATTGTTTGTTGTTAATTGTAATTATGACTTTTTGGGATTTAGAATTATTATTGGTACAAATGTAAGAGTTGTCTCTCTTTTTTGTTTAGTTATTTTGTATCTTTATAATTTTTTGTTTAATAAGTAAGTCCGCAAGATATTTATTTTTTGTCACCTATATTTTCTTTTCGTTGTCCTTAATGTGTTGCATTGGCACTCGGAATTTTATTGATTCATGTAATGGGCATTTTTGTTTGTTTTAGTATTATTGTTGGAAAATTACTCAGCTTTTTGTGCTTTGTTCATCAATATTTAAATTGTTATTATTTTGTATGTGTTTTATTTCTAATAAACCATTGTTGCATCAAATAAAATGCTTTTTGTTTCATTTTGTTCCACGGAAGGAAAAAAAATAAAAAAAATTGAAATTTCATAATATATCCCAAAAATCTGAAGAAACTACCGCAAAGTATGGGTTATTGTTCTGAAATGATTTGGTTATGCAAAAGCGATGCCGTAGAAAAAAAACCCGATGCCTTTTTACATTTTTAGGCGAAGGGACAGGGATCGATCCTTAAGGCCAATTAAGATTTGAACCCTGAACCTCAGATTGTTATACATGTACTATCGCTCTAATCACTTTAGCTACCTTTTCCTGGCTTAACTGTGCTACTGTTCGTGTTATATCCAAATGGATGTTATGGGGAGGTTACTGATCATAATTTTTTTTTCAAAAGGACAGGGATCCTTAATGATGAATAATCCAGAATTTTAGCTGGGGCTAGTAGAGGATTATTAGTGTCTACTAGCTATAGCCCAGGGCTAGTAGTTGGAAAAAACAAAGTATACACCCTTGAGGTTAGTCTCTGCCAAGATATTACAGAATACACAGTTATACAAAACAAAGTCTTCATATATATTCAATGAAATATTTACTAAGTAAATCAGGACTTACATGTGAGGGGTAGACTTCAGTCGGGTTCTCAGCATTGTAAGGAGGAATTGGTACAGCCATCTTTATCAAGAATGTCACTTAGTAGCTGACTATAATTCAAATGCTTGATCAGCCTGAGTGATACCTGAAAAATGGGACAGAACAAATAAAATCATGTACATACTGCATAGGAAGAAAAAAATAGAAGACCCCCCCCCNATTGAAATAATATCTGCCTCATTCTAAGAGTGGCTAGCTGACATGCTATAAAAAATGTAGAAGAAAATCTCAGGGCAAAAAAAACAAATACTGAAATAAACAAAGATCAATAACTTTTGCAAAAATTGTTGAATCAAAATTCTTTTAAGGGAGACACAATTTCATATCAGGATTATAATGTATACCAAGTTTCAAAGAGATCCGTTGAAAAATGGAGGAGGAGATCTCCGGACAACCAAAAGTTTAAGCCGGACAACCCCATACCATAATACTTCCGTCAAATTTGATGGGCGTATAAAAATGTTTGTTGATGTTGTTTTAGTAAGAACTTCAATTAATAAATGGTTCATGTTTATACCTTACAACAAAGTCCCAAGATAAAATAAGAAAATCAGTAAAACTGATGATGCAAAGTCACCAAGAGCCACCTCAATGTGATCTGGACCTTGGGTGTACAGACCCTAAGATGGTATGTGACACATCTAAGGATCTTTCAGTCCTGACACACCACACTGCCATCCTACCATGACTGTTATTTTTTTACAGTCTGGGATGTACAACCCTAGCGTGCTTTGGTACTTAACTACAAACACATCATCTTGCCATCCTATACAAATCTCCCTGCTCACAGAAAAAATATCATATGGTTTTAAACAAGTAAATATTGAATCATTGCATCCAAATTATCAACATGAACAGGTTATACATTTTAATCTGATATTGACAGCTACTTAACTGTTACTAATGCTTACTGATAGCTTCTACAAGAATGCAGAAGGGGGTATCAAGTTAGAGTGTGTGGTGTTTTTTTAACCAACTTTGAACTTAAAACGGTAACGTAAAGAATGCCGATTGCGAGATCAAAGAAGGATCTTGGCACCCATCATTGTAAAATCTTCATTATTCTGAGTAAGTTTGATATGTGTTTTTTATTCATAGAGACATTGTTGTTCTTCCTACCTAACAAACACAAGGACCTTACAATTTGTTATACTAGCTATATTTAAACAAATACTATTACTTAGGGTGGCATTTTTTCTGAAAATTCATCTTTAAACCCCTAAAAACTTGCAAAATTACTTTGAACACCTCATGCCAGTTTAGGTCAAAATATAGCTGTAACTAATGTTCAGGTGACTGGTCCCTGTGCTGCCATCCTCGATATCCAGGGGTTTTGCTCACTTTCGCTCTCTGCAACCCTGGAATATGTCATAGCAAAATTGAAGGCATGAAGATAGCTGTTTGATTGGTCTCAGGTAAAAAACAAACTGACCAATCACTAGGCTGGTACCTGTCTTTTGAAGATTACAAATTAAAGGAGGACACTCGACTTCAAAGCCTGTCATTTTTAAACTTCAAAGCCTGTCATTTTTTACGGTTGTGTTGCAACCACAACCATGACACCGCGAGATTCTTTTGAGGTACATCAAAGGATAGAACTAGTCTGCTTGTCTCATCAACAAGGTGGTACACACTGAGCCTTCAATTTTGCTAGACATATTCCAGGGGTGCAGTGAGAGAAAGCGAGCAAAAACCCTGGATATTGAGGATGCTGTGCTGCCAATTACTCAAAGTGAAACATTTTAACAAAATTTTATAGACAAACAATCATGTTTCACTTTAGTTTGATATGCCAATCAACAAGAAGCTTTCATCATACACCACATGGAAGAAGTTTTGGCAACAAACTTCATGAGTTCTGTTTTGCTAGTAAGTTAAAATAGCATAGTCTAGATTTAAATGGGGTTTATTAGTGAAAAAATAATAATGAAGAAGCCCAATGGGCCTGCGTTGCTCACCTGGTATAAATCTCACAATTGTTACCTTAAAAGTCGACTAAATAAAGCTACAGGCAAAACATCAGTGTCTTGACTCAAAGCCATTCAAAAGAACCTAGCTGTTAAAAGATTTAAACACATTTGACCCCTGCGACATTGAAAGTCAAATAAGGACATAAATTTGAACAAAATTTATAGCCCTCATTCAAGAATGCAACTTGCCAAATATCACCAACCTAGCTATACCTTTTGTTTATTGAGAAGATAACTTTGAAACACAGTTGACCATGTGTGACTTTGAAAGTGTGTCAAGGTCATTCACATTAAGAAAATTGATAGCTCTATATCTGAGCAGGCCACTGGTCAAATATCACCATCCAATGCATTTTGGTTATTCAAAAGAAGTAATTTAAAGATTCAACATACTTGACCTCTGTGAACTTGAATAAAGGTGAAGTTCATTCATTTGAACAAAGTTTATTGCTCTTCATCCCAGCATGCCAATTATCATAACCCTGGTCCTTAATCTTGGTTATTCAGAAGAAGTGGTTTAAATTTTTAACATATTTGACCCCTATAACATGTGACCCTGAAAACAGGCAAAGGTCATTCATATGAACAAACTTGGTAGCCATTCATCTGAGCATGCTACTGGCCAAGTATCATCACCCTATAGACCTCCTGGTTAACCAGAAGAAGTTGTTATATATTGACAACTTTGGGCCAGGTGAGCTAAAAAGCATGTCTAGACATGTTTAGACATGTTAAAAAGAGTATGTGCATTTTAAAGGGGCAGGTTGTCAAATTTGACTTGTTCCTATTCACCAGTTTCCTGAGCCTTTTAAATGTTTTGAAAATACTTTCAAAACTTTATATCGGACAATAAAAAGACAAGAGTAAAACAATGAAGGGGGAAAATGCTCCGGTTTGCATTGGATTCTAATTGATCATAAGATAAGTTTTGTTTAAATTAAATCCTCAGTTTTTGGTCCTGTGGTACAAGATTTTCTTCTTTGCTCTGTCCTATCTTACTCTTAGTTAGTGATACCCTCTAGTTCTTTTGTCACCTGGCTGCTGTGTAATGTACTGCTTCGCCTTGGTTAACTGTTATCAGATGATGTTGGATTTTATAGCATGTTGTTAATGCCTGTTTCCATCGACGACGTTGCAATGAAGTCTATTAAGCGAGTTAGTTACACAGCCTGGATTGATGTCTTGGTAACAGTACAAATTGTGCCGCTTTTTCTGCACTTGTTTAATATCCCCGATGTTTGTGATTTGATGTGGATTCCATACTGGAGAAGCAAACTGTAAGGTTGGTCGAACTAGGGTGGTATATGCCATGCCGACACTTTGGTGTCTCTTGTACATCTCCCCAAATTTCTTCATAGAAAGCCAAGGGTCTTAGAGGCTTTACCTGTTGTCTGGTTGATATGTTTCGTCCAGGTCAGATCTTTGGTGATGGTCACACCCAGGTATTTAGCACTGTCAGCGACTTCAATTGTGTGTCTATGCAGGATAAAGGACATCTGGTGTATTGATGGAACGTCTTCCAGAGAGCCGGATGATTGTACGCTTCTCTTGATGGAAACACATTTGACACTCCTTTCCCACATCTCAAGCGATATCAAGTCCATTTGGACTGCCACAGCATCTGCAGTCTTCTTGATGTTTCTGTATAACATACAGTCATCTGCAAATAGTCTAGTATTACATTATGTAGATGTTGTTGCCAGGGATAATAATGGCCCATCACTGTGCCCCGTGCCTCGGAAATGTGGTTGTTTAGTATAACGGAGGGATCTAGCTGTTTGAAATAAAATTTCTCATCCAACTTATATAAGTGTGTTGTCCCATACTCTGTAGTAGTCCACCTTACGTAGTAATCGCTACTTTCTACTGTTATGACCGACTTGAAAGTTTGCACACACCTAGGTAAGTGAACAATATTTATGAATCAGAATAAATAAATAAAAAAGGTGTAATAACGAACTCTCAGGCGCGCAAAAACCTCCAAGGACACTCATTCTTCCCAAATATGCATTTTTATCGACGCATTTCGGTACTTTGTACTGTTACGATCATACTTAAATTTTGCACACACCTAGATATATGAACAATATTTAGGAATCAGAAGAAAAAAGTGAAATAAATCTTAGAACGAATTCGCGGGCGCGCAAAAACCTCCGAGGACACTCATTAGGGTGACCCGTCAAAAGCCTTTGCGAAATCTGACAATATTCTTTGTTTAGCTGTTTAGAGAATTAGACATCTACGAAGGCGCCTGGATTATCACTGGATTATCAAGGTCATATATATGAAACAAACCTCTTTGATACAAATTAATTAGTGCAGACATATCGTGATAGATAAACATAGAAACATTGCATTATAGCTAAAAATAGCTAAAACCAGAGACGTATAATACGTCTCTGCTAAAAACAGACTGTAGGTGGCCATTTTACATTTTCAGAATGTCGTAACGGATTAAAAGATGGTCTAAATATCTAAAGGCAAATACCATTTTCAAAAAAATAAGTGCTTTGATATGCTCTTACTATGCTCAATACACTATTGGGGAAATGATATCAAACATACAGCTAACGTTAAGTTTCTGTTTACAGCAGGGTTAGGGTGTCACAGTTACTGTTCCTTGATAAGTTATGTTTTAATAGCACTAAATCTCCATAATCTATGTACCTCGGTAAATGTTATCAAGACAACATTACTTACGTAAATGTAGTCGAATTATCATTTCGTTTCTGGGTGTGCTCTGATCTTCATTTTCCGGAACGAGATGTTCCGAATGACGATTCCGAATGGTCTGGCGTGTCCATTTTAATGGGGGGGGGGGGGGGGGGGAAATGAAAATATAATTAAACAATTTAAAAAGGCCGTTAGCTTTAAGTCTATGGTTCTCTTTGGTGCTTCGATTTTTACTCTGTGACCTTCAGATCATGATCACTCGCTACACATGCTGCACTAGGTGCGGATACAGAATTTTCGTAAGGGGAGAGCATCACAACAACAAACTTACCAACTCTCTCTCTTTTTTTAGGGAGAGCCCCGATTTTGGACCCTTAAACCACGGAATTTAATTAGATTACCTAAGTCCGTGCTAAAACTGAGCGTTTTCAACAAATGCATT